AAGAGATAAAAGGAAAGGGAAGCAAGCAGAGAGTTGGGGACCTCATACCACCAAGAAAGCAGTGCCGGGAGCAGAGCGCGTTCTTTGCACCGGGGTCCCTGCGCAGGGAAGCTCCTAGTCCAGGGGAACACTGAAGAGAAGAAGGCCAACAGAGAGAGAAAGCCTTCCCCTGGAGCTGACACCCTGAATTTGGACTTTTAGCCTACTCTGACTGTGAGGAAATAAACTTCTTTTCGTGAAAACCATCCACTTGTGGTATTTCTGTTACAGCAGCACTAGATGACTAAGACATTATTTTTAAAAAAATTAAAACACAAAACTACAAATGATTGCACTGTGTCAGCCTGCCCCAGGCCTCAGGCTAGAGAGTTCCCTCTAGCCGGAGGGGAGGAGGCCATGACAGGGCAGGGAGGTGAGTGACTCCTCTGAGGCCTGGGATGGATACAGCCAGGTCCAGCGCAGCGCGGCCGAGGGAGGTCAGGAACCAGGGTGTGGCCCGCAGCAGATACTCAGGCTGCTGGCTGTGGGCCACGATGGCTGAGGCGTAGAGGAGGCAGCCCAGGGCCAACAGGAACCGCATCCACAGGTGGAGGGAGGGAAACGCCTTACCCTGGCACTGGGCACAGACAGGAGGGGGCTCGGCGGCGAGGAACACCGCTGTCCCCTCTGCTCCCAGCCCAATTCTGAGACCCAGGTGGCACGGCAGGTGGGGGACAAGCCCTCTGCCCATGGACTGTCCCCAAGGGTACTGCTTCTGTTAGGCTTCCAGCTCTTGCTGAAGCCGCTTCCTTTGCCTGATGTTACAGGTTGACTTGTGTCCCCTCTCCTCAATAAGATATGCTGAAGTCCTAATCCCCTGTACCTGTGAATGTAACCTTATCCGGAAACAGGGTCTTCACGATGTCATTAGTTAACACGAGGTCATACTGGAGTAGGGTGGGCCCTAACCAAATATGACTGGTGTCCTCATAAAAAGAAGACACACACAAAAGAACTCAGCCGCCAGCGAAAGGTTGACTGGCCATTTGAACCCACTCAGTGGCTCTGTGGGAGAAAGACCTGGCGATCTGCTCCCATAAAGATTACAGCCCAGAAAACCTTATGGGGCAGTTCTGCTTTGTCACATGGGATCACTATGAGTCTAAAATCGACTCGATGGCACCTAACAACAACAAATAAACCAAAGGATGGGAAGGTGAGACAGAACCCCCACGGCGCTGTGTTCTTTACCTGGCCTCCTCCCCTACAGTGTTGTATTGCAAAATCATTTTCCTTTGCTGGGTTCCCCCTCCTCAGCTTTGCATTTGAATCCTGCTTTTGCTTGGAGGTTATATGTAAACTCCACTGCACCTGCTGTAGCATGATTAAGAACATTGCCAATGCAACTTACTCTCTACCGGTAAACCCCCTTAAAAGTAACCTGCCTGCCTGCCCTTGGCGAGCAGTCTGGGCAGCAGTAAGCACCGACTGACTCCATTTCCGTGTACAACAAAATAAAGATGCCTTTCCTGTTCTCCCTCCTCCAAAAAAGAGAAAAAAAGAAGAGACAGGCAGACACAGAGGGACAAAAAACTGAGGCAGAGGCTGGAGTGATGCTGCCACACTCCAAGGAACGTCTGGGGCTACCAGAAGCTGGGAGAGACAAGAAAGGATCCTCCCCCAAAGCCTTTGGAGATGGCATGGCCCTGTGACACCCCGTACTGGAACTTCCAGCCTCCAGAACTGAGACAATACATTTCAGGTGTCTTAAGCCACCCACTTTGTGGTCATTTGTTCCGGCAGCCCTGGAAAACGAATACACCTGGTGAACTCCTACTCATACCTCAGAACCTGGCTTCAACTTGACTCCGGGAATCTCCTCTTAACACCTCCACCCCGAGGGAAGTGAGTAACTCCCTCCCGCAGGCCCCATCACACCTTACACAGCCCTCTGATGGAGCCCCTTTCACCCTGATTGACTTAGCTCTTTACACTTCTGTCTGCTCAGCAGATAGAGGGCTCCTGAGAGCAGGGCTGGGTCCTCACCATCTTGATGCCCCTGATACGTGGTGCCGGGCAGGGGCTCCTGACGGAGGGGAACGAGGGATGACTGAATTATGAAGGCCTGGCCCTTCTCTTCCTGTGACTGCCAATACAAAACCAGGCCAGACAGGGAAGGCCAGGAAGATGAGGGATAATACTGTGGAATTTTTGAAGCAAAGGGGATATTTTTGGGGAATGAGTAATGGAAACTTTGGTAGAAAGAAGATGAAACATCCGCATATGTCAGCGCCCTGTACAGGTACACCAGTCGCCTTGGAGTCGGCTCTGACTCTGGTGACCCCATGTGTGTCAGAGTAGAACTGTGCTCCATAGGGTTTTCAATAGCTGATTTTTAAGAATACATTGCCAGGTCTTTCTTCTGAGGCATCTCTGGGTGGACTTGAACCTCTAACCTTTTGGTCAGCAGCTGAGTGTGTTAACCATTTGCACCACCCAGGGACTTCTTCCAGGTAAGGTGCTTTATATACATTTATATCCTTGATGTTAGTTGCCAGCAGGCTGATTCCGACTCATGGCGACTCCATGTGTGCAGAGTAGAACTGCAGTCCACAGGGTTTTCAAGGCTGTGACCTTTTGAAAGCAGACTGCTAGGCCTTACTTCCAAAGTGTGTCTAGGTGGGTTTGAACTGCCAACCTTTTGGTTAGTAGTCCGGCACTTAACCACCGCGACCCCCAGGAACTCCTACACATTTATATACATATACATAAATACTATATATTTCCAAGTAAATATCATTATATAACATACAGGTCCTTAGGTGGTACAGGAGGGACCAGTCCCTGGAGAAGGACATCATGCTTGGTAGAGGGTCAGTGAAAAAGAGGAAGACCCTCAACGAGATGGGCTGACACAGTGGCTGCACCAATGGGCTCCAACACAGCAATGACTGTGAGGATGGCGCAGGACCGAGCTGTTCTTCTATCTCTTGTCCGCAGGGTTGCTATGAACTGGAACTGACTCGAGGGCACCTAACAACAACAGGTGGCACAAATGGTTTGCCCTTGTCTGTCTGCTAACCTAAAGGTTGGTGGTTTGAACCCACCCAGTGGTGCCATAAAAGAAAGGCCTGGCGATCTGCTTCTGTAAAGATTACAGCCAAGAAAACTCTACGGAACAGTTCCACTCTATAACACATGAGCTCACTATGAGTCAGAATCTACTTGATGGCAATGGGTTTTTTTTTAATACGTAATATATATTTAAATTAATGTATGTATACATTTTATTATATGTAATTTAGTTCGCTCCTTAAAAACCAAAAACCCATTGCTATTGAGTTGTTTCTGACTCATAGCGACTCTGTGGGACAGAGCGGAATTGCCCCATAGGGTTTCCAAGGCTGTAATCTTTACAGCAGGAGACTGTCACATCTTTCTCCAGAGGAGTGGCTGGTGGATTCGGACTGCTGACCTTTAGGTTAGCAGCCGAGTGCTTAACCACTGTGCCACCAGGACTGCGTTTGCTTGTTAGATGACCATATTTAGATATACAAAGGCCTTGGGTAATAAACGGAAAAATTTCAAGGGAGAAAGCATATTTTGGTCATTATCTCCCCATTTTTATTTTAACTCTCAAAAATAATGCTCAGGAATGTTACATTTCCCTCCTCATTTCTTCTAGTTTTGTTTCCAGGCCCCCCTGTCTGGCCTGCCGTCCACTGAAGACTGGTTACAAGGATAGCGCTGTCAGAAGCTTCTCTGGAGCACGGGGAGCCGGGAGGGAGGAGGCTGGCTGGGGGACCCAGAGGCTGAGGGTGGAGACCACGCCATTTCCCACGGGCCCTTACCACCTCACAGGGAGCCCAGGACACAGCTCTGGTCCTGGTCAGCACCGGCTACGGGGTCTTAGAATGTTATGGCTAGACGCCCTCGGGGGTCTCGCAGCCTAACTACCCCAACACCATTTAACAAAGGGGACGCTGACAGTCCGAGAGGGGAGGCGGGACACTGACAGTCAGAGAGGGGAGGTGGCTTGCAGAGCTGAGGCTGGAGCCAGGGCCTCCTGCCTCCCGGCCTTGCTCTTACTGCTGCCCCCAGTGAATCCCGTGCTGGGGACTCTCTGCTTTCACTTGTTCACCAACCAGGCCCAACACCCACTGTCCTCTAAACTCAATTTCTTTTCAGGGATGGTACCAGGGCCTGAAGGTCCTATTTGCAGCGCTAGACATACAGTAAGTGCTTAACATCTGCTTAAAGACTGGAACTAGGTTGGCGACTATGAGACACGACAGGTCTTTCCACGGCACACGAAGGCCTTCCCTCACAGGTCGGGACAGAAGGCTGGGAAGACAACCCAGCCTGGTGGCGCTGGGGGCTGGAAGCCCCGGCTCAGCAGGACGCGCCTCAGGCAGCTTCAGCAGAGCGCTGATTCCTGGGGTCAGTACGTTTTACTTGTCAGTGTGCGTTTCGCAGCCCTGGTCCTGCTCAAAGACTCACTCCTGGGGAATGGGAGGGCTTCCCACCAATGCCACCTAGACATACCGCTCTTCAGCACCCACCATGTGTAATTAGAAGTAGCTTCTAGGGGAATCAGGGTCTGAGTCCCATGCTGGCCAGGCTTCCCAGAACACTCCAAACCCTAGAAAAGGAACCCTAGCTTTGGGCTGTTCCTCATGGATCCAGACACTTAGCACTGGCAGCAGCTCACGGATGCCCAGCCTAACCCCCAGTGCAAATTCACTCCATCACCCTGCCAAGGGGTCATGAGGCTTGAATGTCATTAGTGATGGGGAGCCCACTAACTCCTCAGGCAGCTGCCCGGAATAACAATACTGGCGGCTCTTGACACGTCAGCCACTATGCCAAGTGTCTTTCCCACAAAGTTCTTCCTTTTACCAAATGGAAAGTGCCCCCCACCCCCACTCTCCCCAGGCTCGGTCCTGTTCTCTGAGACTGCAGAGAACAAGGCTGCTCTTTCTGCCCCGTGACAGCCCTGCTGATTCCTGCACCCACGAGTTTCCTCTTCTTCCAGGCCAAACGAAGTCATTCATTAATAAGGATCTGCTAGCACCCAGCGGGCCAGGCCCTTGGTGTACACTTGGAAGACAGTGAGGAGTAAAATGGACAAGGTTGACTGCTCTCACGCGCTGACGTGCTGGGGGGATTAGGGACGAATTTAGTGCATAAATAGAGGAGCTCACCTCAGGCTGTGATAAATGCTAGAAAGAAAATAAGGCAGAGAGAGGGGACAGAGTGGTAGATGGCTCAGGGCCATATTACGGGGGGTGGCCAGGTCCTTCAAAGGTCTTAACTCAATGTGGCTTCCCAGCCCCCACGCTGCCCTGGGCCCTTCCTGGAAACGCATCCCAGTGGGCCGCTGAACAGCATGGTGCTCCCCTCGCCCCTCCTTACCCTGGATGGTGTACTCATGCTGATGAGGCCCCATGCCTCATGAGATTTCTGCTTTTAGTAGCTTTAGGCCAATGATCACCTAACCCCCCAAATCCTGTTCCCCAGGAACTGCTATTCAACCACGGTGCTCTTGGGCAAGTGATGTTTTTTTGACTAGATGATGAGTCTGTTACGCTTCATATTCAGTTGGGTGCAGAGCGGTTTTCTGCACTGTCTTACTGTTTCTCAGGTACTTTCCTGCCTTGATGACTTGTCTCATTTGCTATCCTCTGCCCAGTGGGCCTTCTCCTAGCCTCTGCCCTCACGAATCCCACCTTCCCTTCTGATCCAGCATGAAAGCCCCCCTCCCCCCATAACTGCAGTGTAAACAGCTTTCACCCTCACTCATTTGAACAGTATAGGAGCCTTCTCTCCCTCCTCTGGGTCTCCAAACATTTGTCAATTGCCCTCGAGTCGACCTCCTTGCACAACGCAACAGAATGCTGCCCGGTCCTGCGCCATCCCCATGATTGGTTGTGGATCAGACCTTTGTGATCCATACGGTATTCAATGGCTGATTTTTGGAAGTAGATCACCAGACATTTCTTCCTAGCCTGTCTTAGTCTGGAAGCTCTGCTGAAATCTGTTCAGCATCATAGCAACACACAAGCCTTCAATAACAGACGAGTGGTGGCTGCACACGAGGTGCATTGGCCAAGAATCAAACCCAGGTCTCCTTCACGGAAGGTGAGAATTCCACCACTGAACCACACTGCCCCCATATTGTCTTTCCATTTCTGTGTCTTCCAAGAGACTGGGGGCTCCTCAAGGCAAGCATGGTGTCTCAACTCATGTCTGCATCTCCCCAGGACTGGCCAACACAGGGCTGCCCTCACTCCTGGTGCTTGGAAAATATCTGCCAAACTGAACTATACAGAACCCCAGGAACTGAAATGATTCCATCGTCTAAACTTTCTCAGTCCCTAACGGGAGATTGTTTATCCAGCCTCAGTGGCTTTTGCCTGAGTGCTTGCTTTTCATTTGCTACAGGAAATGGAAGAGGAAGCAAGGTTCTCCCTGGGAGAGGTTCTAACAGCCTTCAGAACGTCCCTGAGCAAACTCCCTGCCCTTCCCCCGTCACCGGCATACACATGGCTGATCCTCAGAAAACGTTAGGTACTTGTGTGCACCCACCCTCTGCACCCCCCGGTGACTCCACAGCGCTGTCCTGATGGCCTGTAACGGGGAGGCTCCCAGTTGCCCCAAGACCTGCCATCAGGACCCCCAGCCCGAGCCCCAGCCCCAGCCCCAGCCTCACGATTCTGGAGAGTGTGGGGATCTGGGAGGCCCAGGAGCCGAAGGCGGCGATCCCACCCAGCAGGTAGCCGAAGATTTCAATATTTTCCTGTGGGGACAGGTGACACACCCTCAGCACTCTGAGAGACTGTCCATGCAACCTGGAAGCCGCAGAGCCTGATGGGCTCTTTTGTTTTAGCAGGTTCCTCCCAGCAACGTCAAAGGCTATGATCCCCCTCCCCACAGTTGGGGTCCCAGGGACCACGAGGACGGTGGTCCTACCCCACCCTGTGGTGGCTCAGCCTTACCTGCAGCAGGCTTCCCAGAAGCCTCCGCTGTGGCCCCTGGACTGGGCCTGAAGCCTTCGGGACAGAGGCCCAGAGAGCCCAGCCTGGGCCCAGACTCAGTGGCAGGGCCAGGGCAAATATGGTGGCCTTGAGCCGCTGTCTCCTCTTCCTCTCTCGGGAGCCCCGGCCTGCAAGACACCAAAATCTCTCATGGCTCCTGGAACTGGGGTCAGCCCCCAACCCCGAGGCCAGAATGGGTCCCACGCTACAGGCAAGATCCCCCCACCTTCAAGGCTCTCGGGTTGTGTCAAGAAACCTTCTCCTCCCCAATCCATCCCACCCTCACCCCCCAAAACCGGCACGGCTCTCCAGCCTCTGTCTTCTCACAGCATTTGATGACTCAGGATGCGGATGGCCACTGTCTAGTCTCATGCATACCTGCATGCGTAAAACATCACCTCCACCAGACCCGAAGCCCGCTGGGGCAGGCACTGCGTCCTGCACAGACTTGGTGAACAAAGCTATGAGTGGATGTCTTTGAACCAAGGCCCCTCAGCCATGAGCAGGACAAAGGGCAGCGAGGCAGTCGGCAGATGCTGATGCCTTCTCTAACTCGGAGGGCAGCCACAGGCCTGGAGGAGGCATGCCGACACAAAGCTCGTGATTCTGCTTGCAGAGCCATCGGACGGTGGCTGGGCCTTCCCGCCTCCTCAACCTGCACTGCTCTGGCCTCCCAGCAGGACGGCCCCACCACTCGGCAGGTGTCCTTCTAGCCCATCTCTTCCTGTCTTGGTCTTCCTTCTCCACCCCTGTCCAGTGGTTCTCTGCCCGGGCTGCTTGTGGGGACCAGCCGGGAGCTTCAACAACGCCCAGGATGCACATAGCCCAGTGACAGCAGAATCTCTGCAGTGGGACTCCAGCATTGGTATTTATTTTCCTTTACTACACTCCAATGTTTTTATTAAATATTTTAACTATATAAATTTCACGATAAAAACCTATGGCTGTTGAGTCAATTCCGACTCATAGCGACCCTGTAGGACAGAGTAGAACTGTCCCATAGGGTTTCCAAGGATCGGCTGGTGGATTCCAACTGCTGACCTTTTGGTTAGCAGCCTGAGCTCTTAACAACTGTGCCACCAGGGTTATAAGGCATTTTGAAACATTGGGTTATACAGTAAAACCTAAGAAAGCCGGAACGTGTGTAAGGCAGAAACCTGTCAGAAAAGAAAACGCAAATATTTTCCACTAAAACAAGCAACAGAAGTGGTAAGACTGCACCCTGTGAAAGGCGGAAAACTTGCGAGACCTGCAAAACCAAGGCAGTCCCGTCGAGTTCCGGCTCTCAAAGATTTTGCTGTATTTAACTAGTGCCATTTATTTGTTTGAAATACTACAAATTAGTAGTATATCCAAACTTTGGATAAAGGTGGATACCCAAAATTATTTAGCTTAGGGAAATCTTTTTTTTAACTGTGGTAATTATACATGCAACAAAACATTTGCCATTTCCACGTTTTTTGCATGTACAATTCAGTGACGGTAATCACGTTCATCTTGTTCAACCATCACCGCCCTCCGTCTCCAGATTTTTCCATCACCCTTTAACAGAAGCTCAGTGTCCCCTAAGCAACGACTCCCCCTTTGCCCTCCCTCCCACCCCTGGTGACCACTAATAAATTTAGGTCTCTCTACGCTTGCCAGCTCTAGATAACTCAGATAAGTGAGATCACATGGTGTTTGTCCTGTTGGGACTGACTGGTGTCACTCCTATCAGTATTTTTAAAGGTCCCCAGGTGATTCCTGCACACAGTGGGGACTGAGACTCTCTGCTCCCTTCTCCCAGCGCAGGGTCAGGGCTGAGACTCTCTGCTCCCTTCTCCCAGCGCAGGGTCCGGGCTGAGACTCTCTGTTCCCTTCTCCCAGCCTGACAGCCTGTTTTCTGCTTATCACTAGACCTTGGTTTCCGGTGATCAGAAGAGGAAGAAAATTATACTAAGCCTCCAACCCCATTGCCGTCGAGTCAATTCCGACCCATAGCAACCCCGTAGGACAGAGTAGAACTGCCCCATGGGGTTTCCAAGGATCGGCTGGTGGATTCGAACTGCCGACCTTTTGGCTAGCAGCTGAGCTCTTAATCACTGCGCCACCAGGGCCCCAAATATTAAGCCTAAGGAAGTGTTATTTCTAAAAACATCTTTGAAAGTTTCTTTGAAATATAAGAATGACACGCCTCTGAACAATTCTAATAATAACATTTCTCTTCTGGGTAGCAGTTAGCAGCTGTGAGGGACTTTTCTTTTTTTAGATGCGGGTCCAGGCTCACTGTTGCATTCTCAGGAACCCCGCTAGGCCCACCTGCTCAGAGGAACTCAACCTATCTGTCACTTCCTGCCCAGCTCTGCTTGAGGTAGTCCACTCCTGTTATGGACTGAATTGTGTCCCCCACAAATACGTGTTGTAAACCCTAACCCCTATACCTGTGGATGGAGCCCTGGTGGTGCAGTGGTTAAGAGCTTGGCTGCTAACTAAAAGGTCAGCAGTCTGAATCTACCAGCTGCTCCTTGGAAACCCTGTGGGGCAGTTCTACTCTGTCCTGTAGGGTTGCTATATTTGGAATTGACTTGAGAGCAACAGTTACTACCGGGTATACCTGTGGACACAGGAGCTCTGGTGGCACAGTGGTTAAGCACTTGGCTGCTAACTAAAAGGTTATCAGTTCAACCTCACCAGTGGCCCCAAAGGAGAAAAGACCTGGTGATCCGCTCCTGTAAAGATCACAGCCTAAGAAGCCCTATGGGGCAGTTTCACTCTGTCCTATAGGGTCAATATGAGTGGGCACCAACTCGGCAGCACACAACAAATACCTGTGGATGTGTAATCCCATTTGGGAATAAGGTTTCCTTTGTTACGCTAACGAGGTCAGATCAGTGTAGGGACTGTCTTAAGCCAATCACTTTTGAGATAGAAAGAGAGCAGATTAGGGACAGAAGAAAGGAAACACAGACTGGAGAGGACAGATGCCACATGAAGGTCACCAAGGAACTGAGGAACCGAAGCTGAAAAGAGACAAAGACCAGAGCAGACAGAGAAAGCCTTCCTCTAGAGCTGCTGCCCTAACTATGAGAAAATAAATTTCTATTCATCAAAGCCACCCACTTGAGGTATTTCTGTTACAGCAGCACTAAGAAACTAAGACGGTGCCCATTCCTGGCATCCATTTCCGGAAGTCGGGGGCTGCACTTGGCCACCCTGGACGGGCACACTGAGATACCATTGTAATTCCCCACAGCATGCACCATCCCTCCCCCTGCCTTTGCCCATAATGCTCTTGTGGCCCAGAATGCCCTTGCCGGCAGTCCCAGCTCCAAGGTGACATCCTTCCCTGACGCCGTAGCCCCTTCTCTTCCTCTGACTACCCATGGTGGGCACACACTCCGTACTGGAAGCTCTGAGTACTGTTTAGGACCCCACCTCCCGCATCTGGCTGAGGTCAGGGACCAAGGGCATTCTCTGTGCCCGGCAGGGGCCCAGAACAGGGTGTGGCAAGAATTAGCTGAATGATTGGACGAGTGAAGAAAGGAACAGATGGCCACATACTCACCCGAATGTGACTTGAACTTGGAGCCGCAGACTGGGAAGAGAATGAACATGAAGTTCACTAAGTCAATAGCTGCTAGGTAGGCACCCGTGAAAACCTGGAGGCAGATGGAAATAAGAGTCCTGGTGTGCAAACATCTTTATTCAGCATCTCTCGCCCCACGTCCCCTCTCCCACATGTGTTGGCCACCACCCCATACATTAGCCCAGGAAGCCTCCCACCAGTGCTGAGAAAGGCCCATTATCATCTCCATTTTACTGATGAGGAGACAAGGGCTTAAATGAGTGACCCCAAGTTACGCAGACCCCCGTTAGTACAGATGGGACAAGAGCCCAGCCCTCTGCCTCCTACTCCACACTCTTTCCACTGCATGGTGTCATTTTTGCTGTGTAACCCTGGCCCAGGCACTGAAATTTCTGGGCCTTGGTTTCCTCATCTGTAAAACAGGGATAATGAAAATGCCTCCCCAGAGACTGCTAAACAGGTTACTTAACCCAACACAGGGAATGTGCTTAGAACAGCGCTCAAAGGAAAGTACACCAAAAAACCAAACCCACTGCTGTCCAGTCGATTCTGACTCATAGCGACCCTATCGGACAGAGCAGAACTGCCCCTATAAGGTTTCCAAGGCTGTAATCTTCACAGAAACAGACTGCCCTATCTTTCTCCCATGGAGCAACTGGTGGGTTTGAACTGGTGACCTTTTGGCGAGCAGCCGAGCACTTTAACCACGGCATCACCAGGGTTCCTTGTGGAGGAAAGTAAGCTACCTATAAATGCATTAGCTAAGATGACAGTATAGTTAGTGGTTATTATGGATTGAATTGTGCTTCCCAAAAATACGTGTTGTAAATCCTAACTTCGATGCCTGTCGTTATAATCCCTTTTCAGAATGGTTCTTTGTTATGTTAATGAGACATGATTAGCATAGGGTGTGTCTTAAATCAATCTCTTTTGAGATATAAAAGAGATTAAACAAGCAAGCTAGAAACAGAGATGTGGGAAGAGACAGGCCAAGCCACATGAAGATTGCCCAGGAGCAGAAGCTCAGAAGAGACAGGACTTCCCTCCAGAGCTGACAGAGAGAAAGCCTTCCCCTGGAGCTGGCACCCTGAATTTGGACTTCTAGCCTCCTAAACTGTGAGAAAATAAATTTCTGTTTATTAAAGCCACCCACTTGTGGTATTTCTGTTACAGCAGCACTAGATAATTAAGACAGTGGGTAAGAACATGTGTTCTGGAGTTGAACTCTGGCACTGCTACATACTAGGTGGGTGACCACAGAAGAGTTACTATTTAACCTTCCTGTGCCTCAGTTTCCACATCTGTAAAACAGGGGTGATGACAGCACTCAGGTCACAGGATGGTTTCAGGACTAAATGAGTTATATGAAAGGCCCTTCATGCCAGGTATTAGTTAAGTATTTAACAAATATTAGCTACTGTGATCTGACCTGAGCTGGGCCTCATTACATTCCATCAGCTAATGAGAATGGGCACCCAAAATGAAAGCTGATTTACTTTTGAGAAAACATTGCTCAGAACAGGGTCTAGAACTGTCCACGTCTGTGTTCCCACCACTCGGCTTCCCTCCTTCACATCTACCTGGGTAGGCAGGCCAGGACCAGTCCTATGAGGTGCTCCTACAGTGTGCACCCCTGGCCCTGTGGCCCAACAGGTTTCCTCAGAACCTGTGTTTTGGGATGGGAACCCTCTGCACAGATTTGTTTGAGGGCTCAGACTTTTGGAAAACTCGAAACTGCTCCTCACTTGCTCCCGAGCCCATGTCACCCCCTGGAATGGTCCAGCCACCCCTGCATGACCTGGGCTGGACTCCGGGCTTTACAACGATAACAGTAACTATTTATTGAGCACCTACTATGTGCCAAGTACTGATTTCGGTGATTGGGATACAGCAGGGAATAAGTGTGACAAAAATCCCTGCCCTTGTGGAGCTCACGTTCTTTTGGGGGTCAACATGCAACAAGCAATAAATACAATCAGTAAGTAAAGCATGCGGGAGATTAGGGGGTGAGGGTTATGCAAAAAACTAGAGCAGGGAGGAGGTCAGGCGCGCTCGTGGTAGAGGTGGGTAATAAGCGTGTGGTTAAAGCAGGCCTTACTGCGATGACATTTTATAGGCCTTGAAGGAGGTGAACAGTGAACCACGTGGATACTGGGGGCAAAAGCACCTGAGGGGCAGAAAGAATATCAAGGACACAGGCCCTGAGGCGAACTGTGCCTCACACGCTGAAGGAATAAGACAGAAGTCACTGTGGCTGCGGCAGAGAAAGGCAGGCCAGGCTGGAGCCTGACGGAGCCACTGTCACCTGTGGGCCCGACATACCTGGATGGTGAGCTGTCTGGCCAGGATGGCCCCGACGGTATCACACAGACTGGTCAAGAGGCAGCACGCGGCACACAGCGCCGACTGGTCCGGTCCGGACTTCCTGGTACATCTCAGATAGAGAAGCCTGGGTGACACACAGGGGTGTGGTCAAGACATGGGAGCCGTGCATTTGGGGACAGGCCAGGCCAGTGTCTGAAAAGGACAATTGTGACTTGGTGTCCTTACAGAGCACTTCTGCCCCAGATAATCAGCAGGTATTTCTGAACTTAGTTTAGAGATGGGAAAAGAAAGGGTCAGAAGACTTCTGAGCCTCTGGGCAACACCAACGGCAAGAGCCAGACCTCAGGGAACAGGGAGACATCACCTTCCTCCCACAAACCAGGCAGACCCGGTTTAATGACCCCACCACTCAGCGCTGAAAAACTAGCTGTCAGGTGTTTTTTTCTTTCTTTTTTTTTTTAAAGGGAACAAACCCATCGCCGTCAAGTCAATTCTGACTCATAGTGACCCTATAGGACAGAGTAGAACTGTCCCATCGGGTTTCCAAGGAGCAGCTGGTAGATTCGAACTGCTGACCTTTTGGTTAGCAGCCGAGCTCTTAACCACTGCACCACCAGAGCTCCAGAAGGAAATAGGAGAGTTATAAAAGAAACACAATCACTGCAGGTAACTGCAGAGAAGAGTTAATTGTCCAAATTAAAAAGGCAACGTATGTTTCTCTGGAAGTGAAATCCTTCTAATCCGTCTGTGAAGCAGGGTGGCCTGGCTTCTGCTGGCCTGTGCCCAGGGTGAGCGTGCTCTTCACACACAGGAGGCAAAACCCCTCCATGATGTCTGCAGGCATTTCCGACTGACCTCGCCCCGGGTCTCCCACGGCTGGCTTCTCCCCTCATTCTCTCTCTCTCTCTCTTATACATGCACATACACATCTAGGGGTGAGCCCGGAAGGGCAAGGCAGGCTGGGAGGGCCCAGGGGCCCTGTAGCATCACTGACCAGATCTGGGGAAGCACTTTTTCTAGATGTCTCCCTGCTCCATTTCTGCGGAGATACCGAGGCACAACTGCACTTCTGGTTTCATTTCCTTTAACCACAGGGAGGGACTCACTCCACACCGCTAGGACTGTTTGGCTGATTATGAGGGTCGGCCCTCGGAGTAGTGCAGTGAAGACGGAAGGCTATCAGGCTCCTGAACATTTCCCTCCCTGCCCACCAAAGCCTGGAGCTCACAGAGGAAACATCGGCCTTTGAGCCAGGCCCCGTGCTCCTGACACCAATCCAAGGCCAAGGAGTGGAGACTCTCAATTAGAAACTCTCTGAGTTGGACCCAAACTAGAAATAATTTATTTCAACCCTCTTATTTGACAGAGGAGAAAACTAGGCCCAGGAAGAAGAAGTCCCTTGTCTATGGGTAAAAAAAAAAAAGAAAAAAAAAAAAAAAATCAAACAGGTTGCCATTTAGTCAATTCCGACTCATAACAACCCCATGTGTGCAGAGTAGAACTATGCTCCATAGGGTTTTTGTGGCTGTGAACTTTCAGAAGCAGATTGCTGCCAGGCCTTTCTTCCCAGACACCCCGGGTGAGTTCAAATTGACAACCTTTTGGCTAGTAGCCGAGAGCTTAACTGTGCCACCAGGGTCTCCTGTTTATGGGTGAAGGTGAGGTAACGGCAGGTCTTCTGGCTTCATGGGGGTCGGAGGGAGGTTTTGCTCTGCACCCTATTGCTCTTCAGCCATCTCCTCACTTCTCAGGGGCCAGGGGTCCCAGGCTGACCTTAACCCAGCCCACATACCCCAGAGATACATTCCCCCAAAGACAAATGGACCTTCAGGGGTGGGGAGGTCCTGAAAACAGGTGTGCTCAGAGCTGAGGCAGGGTGAAAGGCAGAGGCTCTGGCTCTCGGACTCCACAGCTAGGTATTCCCCAGGGATTACCTAAACTCTCCAACCCTAAATTTCCAGTTTGTAAAAACACCCGATAATGCTGACCTCAGAGGGTGGCTGTGAGGATTAAGGAGACGGCGCCTCGTTAGTTTCCATCCTCCGCTCTGGGCGGTTTAGGCCCTACAACCCTGCTCCTTTTCAACAGGATCTGGGGTTTCTGATCTTTCCAGGATCCCAGGCAAGTTATTTAACCTCCTCCGTAAGTGGGGGCAATAGCAGTACCTACTTCAGGGGGTTTGCAGGGATTAAATGAGATAATGCATGCAAAGTCCTTGGACCAACACTGAGCCTGCTAAGCATCCTTTTATTAGTATTCCAGTCCTGGGGCTGCGGGATCTCTGCATCAATATCAAACGCCTGACAGGACTATCCATTGAGCCTTAAGGTGAGACAGTACCAGCCTTCCTCAGGGGTGCGAATCCTTTCTCCTCAGCCAGGAAGTACCCAGAGGGCAGGTGGCACCATTCTGAGCATTGCCTCTGCCAGCCTGTGGATTTCTGGGCCTGGGATGGGGTGGCTCGAGACCTGGAGGCCGTCCTTAGCCATACCTGGCCAAACTGCTCTGGACACTGGGCAGACCTGGGCAAAGGCTGTGCCCAGAGTCAGATCACGGCCGTCCGCCATGATCCTTCCCAGCTAACAGGGCCTTGGGTAAACTGAGGCCAGAAACATGGAGGGACTTGCCCAAGCTCCCAAAGTGTTGATGGCAGAGCTGGGACTGGCATAAGGATGTTTAATGAGCACTTACTAAGCGCTTGGCAGGCAATGACTCATTTAGTCTTTCCACCCATCCTAGGAGGTATTATCCCCATTTACGGGAGACAAATGAGAGAGGTTTTATAACATGCCCAGCTCACAGCGCGAGTCAATGGGGAAGGGCTAGCCCGAGAACCCCGGACTCCGGTTTCAGTCCAAGGTCCCATCCATTGCTGACCCTGCCTCCTCCTGCTGGCAGACGGCCCAGCTTCCCTGTGTGCGGAATCCGGAAAGAAGTATCCGACTTCGGACTTCATCACAACGTTAGCTTCGGTCCTGGAACTGTGCTGCCTGCCTCCTCCATCCCCACTTCCCTCCCCCTTCCCTCTAGGTTTCCAGGAGGGAGTCAGCAGGGTGGTAGCTCCCCATTCCCCCTGGGCAGACCCGGTCTCCCACCCTCGTCCCGCCCGAGGCCTGGCCCCCATTACAGCGCGTGGGCGGCGATCCAGCAGCAGGAGGCGCAGATCCAGAGGCCGAAGGAGATGCAGACGCGGTGGCGGGCGAAGCAGTGGTCCAGGTAGTCCCAGTCCAAGAGCGCGGGCGCGGGGCTGGGTGCCTCCTCCATGGCACGGCTCGGTGCGACCGCCCGGCCCAGTGCCCGAGCCTCCTGCGTGGCCGGCAGCCGGGCGCAGCACCCCGGGCCCCGGCAGCCCCGGGCTGGGTGGCGGCGCGCCCTGCTGCCCCTACCCTGTGTTCGGTTCCGCCCGGCGGCCCCAGCCGAGCGCAGCGACTGAGGCCCAGAGATGGGCGCGCCCAGTTCCGCGCTCCCGGGTGCTGCCGGCGGCGGCGGCGGCGGCGGCGCGAGGGGAAAGTTTCCGGGACCGCGATGCTCCCCACCCCTAGCGCTATTGTCGGGGTCCGCGGGACAGAGGCCGCCCCCCAGCGGCGGGAGCCCGGAGCAGCCTCGGCACAAAGGCGGCGGCCCCCGGCTCCCAGCGGACCCCGTCGCTGTCACCCCCACCCCAATCCAGCGTCCAGAGCCGGGCAGGCCGTGCTGGGACTGGGGAGGGGGGAGTCCCTATCGGGTCACGGTCAGGCACTTTGGCCGTTCATTAATTCACTACATTTCCTGAGCCAAACAACACATATACTTGGCGCCTGGCGCTGCGCTTGAGTGCTGGGGATCCGAGGTGAGTGGGGGCCTGGTCTGATCCTTACAAGGATACAACAGGAAGGGGTGGGGTGGGGGGCCAGAAGGGAGGAAATGTGCTGGGAACAATTACAACTAATCTTCCTCTCTTTTCTAAAGCTGTCAATAGCACCCTCCGGCCCCACTCAGTCACCCAAGCCAAGGATACTGGACATGGTCATCCTAGACCGCAGCCCGGCAGCCCAGGTGCCTGGTTATCTTTAGAATCCGTCCTTTCCCATCCAGCCACACTTCCTCAGGTACACAGGGCTGTTTTTCTTGAAAACAAAACAATTATAATTAAATTTCCTGTTTGATTTTAATGTTGTCTGGTACCCTCGAGTCGTTTTCTGCTATAGCGGCCCATGTGACAGAGTAGAACTGCCCCATAGGGTTTTCTTGGCTGTCATCTTTAGGGGAACAGATCGCCAGGAAAGCAGATCACCAGGTCTTTCTTCCGCAGAGCAGCTGGATGGGTTCCAACCACCAGTCTTTGGGTTAGCAGCCCAGTGCTTACTTAACCTTTGCGCCACCAGGGCTCCTATCAATTTTTATAAAAGTTTGCTTAAAGCAGGACATAATTGTACCATTTCCTTTGTTTTTCACTTTCTTAAATACCAGCTTTATTGAAACGTCATTCATATGCCATGCAATTTATTCTTTTAAAGTGTACAGTTCAGTGGTTTTTAGTATATTCATAGAGTTGTACAACCAACACCACTATCTAATTTTAGAACATTTTCATCACCCCTAAAAGAAACTGGTATCCATTAGCAGTTACTCCCCATTTCCCTCCCGAAACCCCCCTGGGCAACCACTAATCTACCTTCTGTCTGGATAGATTGGCCTATTCTGGACATTTCCCAGAAATGGAATCATACAGGAGGTGGTCTTTTGTGACGGACGTCTTTCGCTTAGCCTGATGTCTTCACGGTTCCGCCACAGTGTTGCATGTATTAGCTCTTCATTTTTATTGCTTCATAGTATTCCACTGTACGGATACACCACATTGTGCTTATCCATTCAACAGCTGATGGATATTTGGGTTCCACTTTTGGGCTGTTATGAATAATGATGCTATAAACGTTCATGTACAGGTTTTTGTATGGACATAGGTTTTCAGTTCTCTTGGATGTAACTAGGAGTGAATTTACAGGCTGGGGCCCTGGTGGAGCAGTAAAGTGTTTGGCTGCTAACCAAAAGGTCAGCAGTTTGAATTCACCAGCCCCTCCTTGGAAACACTATGGGGCAGTTCTACTCTGTCCTATAGGGTCACTAAGAGTTGGAATTGACTGGACAGCAACGGGTTTTTGTTGTTTTTTTTTTTTTTTTGGTTTATGACACCTTTGTTTAACATTTTGAAGAACTGCCAGGCTGTTTTCCAAAGCGGCTGCACCATTTTTACTGATTCGTTCGTTTGTATATGTTGTGACCACTCATGGGAGAAATGAAACACTGTATGTCAGGCATTGTGCTGGGAGCTGGGGACACACTGTTGGAAAAAACAGACATGGTCCTCACTCTTGTGGAGCTTACAGTCCCATAGGAGAGAGAGACATTAAACAAGCAATCACAAATAAAGGTAAAATAGGTTATTAAACAAAAAGGACCAGAATTAAAAGAATAAAATGATTAAGATGAAGTGGTAGAAAATGAAAAGCAATTAACAAGATTAAAGGGTTAAATTAAAAGAAAAAATATATATGATCTAAGTTTCTCCAGAAGCCCTAGTGGCGCAGTGGTTAAAAGCTTGGCTGCTAACCAAAAGGTCAGCAGTTTGAATCCACCAGCCGCTCCTTGGAAACCTATTGGGCAGCTCTGCTGTGTCCTATAGGGTTGCTGTGAGTAGGAATTGACTCAGTGGCGATGGGTTTGGTTTTTGGTTAAGTTTCTCCAGGCCACATATCTATAATAATAGGCGCCCACAGTATCTTTCTAGCTCAGCTACTGCCTACACCATTGAAGGAAATCCTGTCTGATATCCCTGCCTTCTGGCTTCTTGAGGGTCCTGGTGAATGTCCTATGTGCTCATAAATGGTCATCTCTGCCTTTATCTCCCATGGACACTGACCTGTGGTTCCCTAGCTCCTGGATTCCTCTGGTGATGTTGTCTCCCTGTGGTTCCCAAAGATAATTTATTCCAAGAGCTACCTCGCTAAAGTGGGGAAACACCCCGCCCAGCCTTGTGTCACGTTCCTGCCAGGCCCTAAGGCAGGGCCACCTTGTCTTCTCAGTTTTGTAGAGACTTGAAGATTCCACTGTTGACTTGATTTGGTCTTTATTACAGGTTCCCTCTCCCTCAGGCTCAGCATCAGCCCTTGGAGGCTGGGCCTGATTTAAAGATTACTTCATTCCTCCCCACCCACCATGGACCAGGTGTACACACCTCAACTGTTTTTTCTTGGAAAAGTAATTAGTTCTTAACCTTTTCTGTGACCCCTTTGAGAATGTGAAGAAAACCTTATCCCTGAAAAATATGAACATGCATACATACCCACACACACATTCTCATACAATCTTAAGAAATTTATGAAGCCTGAAATCCAACTATGGATTCCAAGGAGCAATGGACCCCATCCTAAGAAGCTCTTGTGTAAGGGTTTAAGTCCTTTTTAAAAAAAATTAATATTTTTATTGTGCTTTAGATGAAGGTTTACAGAGCAAATTAGTTTCTCATTAAACAATTAATACACATATTGTTTCGTGACATTGGTTGCCAACCCTGCGAAGTGTCAACGCTCTCTCCTCCTTGACCTTGGGTTCCTCATTTCCATTCATCCAGCTTTCCTGTCCCCTCCTGTCTTCTTGCCCTTGCCCCTGAGCTGGTGTGCCCATTTAGTCTCATATACATGGTTGAGCTACATGTATTATTGTTTGTTTTATGGGCCTGTCTAGTCTTTGGCTGAAGGCTGAACCTCAGGAGTGACTTCAGTACTGAGTTAAAAGGGTGTCCAGGGGCCGTGCTCTTGGGGTTTCTCCAGTCTCTGTCAGACCAATAAGTCTGGTCTTCTTTCGTGACTTAGAATTTTCTTCTACATATTTCTTCAGCTCTGCCTGGGACCCTCTATTCTGCTCCCTGTCAGAGCAGTCGATGGTGGTGGCCGGCCACTGGGTTTAAGTGTTTTTTTACGCGTACCTTGCCTGAGTGGTTGGGACAGTGTGGGCCACAGATCACTGCGTCTGAAACACTGTCTGCCTGTCAAAAAAGCAGACCTGCCACATCCACATCCCTGGGCATGGGCCTGGAATCTGCATGTATGCGTTTCCTATGCTTGCTGTAACAAACTAGCACAAACTTAGTGGCTTAAAAAAAAAAAAACCAGTAGTTGCCATTGAGTCAATTCCTACTCATGAAGACCCCATGTGTGTCAGAGGAGAACTGTGTTCTATAGGATTTCCAATGGCTGATTTTTCAGAAGTAGATTGCCTGGCCTTTCTTCCAAGGCACCTCTGGGTGGACTTGAACTGCCAAAATTTTGGTTAGCAGCTGAGTGTGTTAACCGTTTGCACCATCAAGGGACTCCTAAAACTAAACCACATCCACTGCCATCCAGCCAATTCTGACTCATAGCGACCCCATAGGGTTTCCAAGGTTGTAAATCTCTACAGAAGCAGACTGCCACATCCTTCTCCTGCAGAGCGGCTGGTGGTTTTGAACCGCCGACCTTTTGGTTAAGAGTCGGTCGCTTTAACCTCTGTGCCACCAGGGCTCCTCAAGGGACTCTGGTGGCTTAAAACAACAGAAATCAATCCTTTCACAGTTCTGGAGTCCAGAATTTCAAAATCTGTTTGACTGGGCCAAAATCAAGGTATCCCCAGGGCCACACTCTCTCTGGAGGCTCTAGGGGAGAACCTGTTCCTTGCCTCTTTCAGCTTCTGGTGGCTGCTGGCATTCCTTGGCTTGTGGCCATATAATTCCAGTCTCTGCCTCTGTGGTCACATTGCCTTTTTCTCTTTCTCTGCCTCTCTCTTATAGGGACACCTGTGATTGCAGTTAGGGCCCCCCTGGATAATCCAGGATAATCTCTCCAAGCGCAAGATTCTTCACTTAATCACATCTGCAAAAACTCTTTTTCCATATAAGGTAACATTCCAGGGATTAAGACCTGATACTTTTGAGGGCCATTATTTAGCCTGCTACACTGCATTTTCACAAGCTTCCCTGGAAATTCTTATTTTCTCATAAGAGAAAGTAGAAGCAGAAGTTGTAATTATCCCAGTGACTTGGAGAGAGCAGTATGTTCAATAGAGACCAGGTTACGGAGATGGCCCCAAGTTGGGGATGCAGAAACTGGGGGGAGCTGTTCCCAGTCACTGGTCATCTGGCTTACAGAGAGGTACCATGGGAAGAATGTGGGCTTTGGAGCCAGCAAGTCTTGGACTGGAATCCCAGCCTACTTCATTGTAGCTGTGACTTGGATCGAATCAGCGAACCTCTCCGAACTTGTGTATTCTTGCCCACAAAATGAAGAGAATAGTAC